TTATAAACATTTTACTAAATGATCAATTAGTTTGTGAGGTCTATAAAAAGAATCATTTGAGCAATTTCTTTGACAGCTTTGTAGAATCTAAGATCCTTGATATACACTATATTGAAACCCATAAATGTAGTTCTGTAAAGCAAACACTTAACATACAAGACTTACTTAGAAAATGTGTGTGTATTCCATATAAAAATAACAAAGTTGTAATATCTTTATTAAATAATGTGAATTTTTGAAATTGTGTGTATTTTTTGTTATAAATGTATATATTGAAGGTTTATCAATTTTTTAACTACAAAGCTTATTTCTAGAATCATATGTTTTATGAAAACAAAAAAATTTATCCTCAAAACATTTAAAAATATACTTAAATTACAATTCCGTATTTATGTATTATATAGAATAATTCAATTAATAGTGAATTTAATGGTGATGACTTATTTTCTATTTAGTTTATAATTATCTAAAATTGTAGGTTGTACAGTACCATTGCAATTAAAAAAGATGGTGTTGCCACAAAGACAGTAGTACCTACTCACTGGATTAATGCAAACAAAGGTATAGTATGCTATCCCCCTCGAGGAAAAAAAACTGTGGGTGTTTACTTATCTGAGTGGGCTAGTCCAGAACCTGGCTGGCAAGAGTTTATATTATTAGAATATATTTTGGAGTGTGGAAGTTATGAAACATGTCAAGCAATGTTAAACTTTCAAACTGAAGATGAAAATGATGATTGCCCTGGTATGTATACATATCAATTCATTTGTATTGATTTCTTTAAAAACTGTTTACATTATATTTTGTCAGATGTTATACTGTTATACAAATTGTCAAAGTTAAATACTTTTCATAAACTTGCTTATGTAAATAAATTTCTTTGTTTAACAAGGTTATTTTTTCAAGGTTTGTTTCACAACTATAGGCTTAAGATAAGGAATTTATAAAAATTAAAAGGTAGTGGCCCCTGGACCTCGGAGAAATTAATATAGTTAAAAGAAAAAAGTGGAAATTGATCAAATGAGACCAATTCAATTTATGATACAATATGTATCTTAGCTTTAATATGTTGGGCATTCAATTTTTGTGTTCTGGCATTATTTTGTTTTTAATTGTATGTTTTTTGATTTTATAGTTTCAAATATCCTCAACCCAATGAAGCGAGTTCCTAGTCCAAATTTGCGTGACTTAAAGTTGAATTGCTCACCATCTGGTTCTTCGTCATCAAATCAATTGGCTGTGCCGCTTATATCTCCATGGAAAAAAGTAAGGTGAGCTGTGTAATGCAACCAAGAATGAATGAAGATTCCCAACAATCATCAGATCATGAGTTAGATACATATCACTTTACAAAAACTCCAACATCTTTCAAGACTGGTGATGGTGGTGTTTCATTTAAAGAAATGACAAATAAGCGTAAATTTTTGCATAATATTATAGTTTGTGATGATCTTTATTTCTCTAACCTAATAATCTTTGTCTAATTTTAAAGCTAATTTTATCTCAAGTTTTATAAATGTTTTTTCCTGTTGGCCATACTAATAAGAAATTCATGATTAGAGTTTCAGTATGCCGTGCTAATGAAACTAGATTTGTTGCACCGTAATCAACTTCAAGTTATGGAACGATTAGACAACCTGGAAACACAGTCAAAAAGTGATACAACTGATGTAGATGCCATAGTTGCAATTCCACACAGAGATATTACATGTTTTAACGAAGAAGAGAAAAATCTCAGAGCAAGTTCTAGTTCTAGCTATGAAAAGCAAGGTAAATATATTAAACCTTTCAATATTATATTCTACATGTACTAATAAACCAGGTGTTGATGTAGTTTTATGCTATTTGCATCCAACTCTGATGAAACAGTAATCTATTATTTCCTGCTGATGATTTGAGAAATGTTTCTTGTGAGGTTGGAATATCAAATTTGTTTAAAAATATAAAGTTGTACAACAAAGTTTAAGTTTTATGTTAGTTTATTTTATTGTTAATCTTTTAGATTTAATATTATGCCATTTTTTTAGATTACTCAAATCAAAGCCATTGGTGGTGCAACACCACGCAAAACTGTGAAAAATGTTTTAAACCAGTTAATGGTGCCACAAGTGCAAAACTTATTTAGTAAAGATGGATTGAAAGGCAAGCTAAAGTTTACAGCTACAGAACATTACAAGTGTATTAAAGGTGAGGCAATCATTTTGATATGCTCCCTCATTTAGCTGTATAAAAGTATTATAAGTAGTAAAATTGTTTATAACTAAAAACAATTTATTTGATTAGAAGACTCAGAATTGCAGTTTACTTTTTTTGTTGTTTAGAAGGCTTAGTATCCGAAAGAACTGGTTACGATGCCGCAACCATTGAAGCCCTTGTTGGCGATTTATTGAAGCGGGCATTGCCAAAAGTGAAATTAATTACAGATGTCGTTCGCGAAAAAGAAGCAACATAAAATATTAGCATTGTATTTATTATTTTAAAAGGAATTGCTTTTTACACATTTCAGTTGTTTTCAGTTTAGCACGCCTTTTATTGTTAGTATTTCAGAATTTTTTAATTAATATAAATACTCTGTCACAGATAAATCTAATTAGACATTTTGAAAAATATTTTGGACGTCCATGGTCGTCTTATAAACGTCCAAATTGGACGGACGAATCCCGTTTCACTTTTCCCGTTCTGGGTACACAGAATCTGTAGTTAAACTGTACACACAAACTATACTCCGATTTTGGATACTCGTTACAAGATCACACAGTTTGAGTATTTTTGATAGAAAGTAAAGGATGTCAGTATTAAGATTATATTGTTGAAAGTAAATTATTTTTAAAGCCTTGTTTTGTAGGTTAGATAATCTTAAAAGAGCATGAGACTTGTTTTGTCCCCAAACCTGACAAGCATATCTGAGATGCGATCCAAAAATTGCATGGTATATATTGAGTAAAGTTTCATAATTGACATAGTGACGAATTTTGGCCAACATCCCATTTGATCGACACAATTTCACTAAGTTTTTTAAATGAGAGGTAAAGGATAGATTTGAGTCAATTTTGATTCCCAGATATTTTAATGAATCTACAGGAAAAATTTTTTGGCCACTTAGTCTAAAGTTTAGGTTTTTATATATTTTAGATTGACTTGATTTGAAAATGATGAGTTCGGTTTTGTTGGTATTAAGACATAGTTTGTTAGAGCGCAGCCATTGAAGTAGATTGGATAAATCATGATTAATATGTTTGCTAATTTTTTTTAATGATTTGTTTATTATGAGTAAGTTGGTGTCGTCAGCAAAATGATAAGCCGTTGAAAATTTTAGAGAGATATTAAGATCATTTAAAAAAATAAGGAAAAGCAATGGTCCTAATACAGATCATCTCAATAACATGTCAAGTGACGAATATAGAAAAACTTAAATTAAAAGAAAGCGAATTAAATTGGAATATCTGGAATGTGGCAAAGTATTTGACAACGACTATAAAAAAAACACGAAAAAAATCTTCATAATGGTAAAAAAATATTAACAAAACATTTTGGTGCTCCTAAAAATCCTTTTGAAGCAGCAAAAAAGAAAAGAAAAGTACGTATAACTGTCACAACTATTTGTAAATGAAACACTTGCACTTTGAATAAATAACTTCATTTTTAGTGTTGTTTATTATCATTTTCAATGTGATAGTATATCAAAATGTATTATTGAAGAGCAGGTAGAGATTTCTCTTGATCGAACCTCAAGTGACATTGCTATTAATTAAAATCATCTGTTGAATATGTGAGTTAATCATTCAAGCAGTGGCGTAGCTACATTGCATTCAAGCAGTGGCGTAGCTACATTGGAGTAGTTGGAGCAATTGCTTCTAAAGCACAAAATATAAAGGCGCAATTTTTTTTATAAGTATAAATTAGAAAGACGGGCATTACTGTTTTTATTCCATATCGTATATAACCTCTATGATTTAAACACAATTTTTATTTTAACTTTTATTAACTAACTTAGAAAACTTCGAAAAATTGCGCATTAATTTTATTTACTCCAAGCGCTAAAAATACGACACTGCATAAATGCCTCTTAAAATTATAAAAATATATCATGTTCTTTATAGAACAATATTCCTTATTTTAAAGTGTTATTATTTTCTATTATTTTTTAGGTATATTTTATTTAGGTTATCTGAATTGTCAGGTGATAGTATATCAAAATGTATTATGGAAGAGCAGGTAGAGAAAACCTCAAGTGATATTCCTACTGAATTAAAATCTGTCGGATACGTGAGTAAATCATATGTGCCTCTAATAATTATAAAATTATCAATGTTTTATATATTTCTGTGGATATTTTTTATTAAAATATCCACAGAATATGCCGATAACACTGCATTGATTTGTTTGCAGTAGGCTGACGTCGAAGCAGGCGATTCAAATGCTATCGAGTTTTTATTTTAATTAATTTATAAAATAATATTTATTAATATTAACTTCGTTTAATAATTTATAGTAAACTTATTTTTAGCTGACTTAAACAAAATATATTTCACAAACATCAAATTTGCTGACTGAATTGAACAAAAATGATTGGGGGGTTAGACACCCCCTACGCCCCCCTCTCCTAAGGACGTTTCTAAATATATGTACATATGCTGATTAATTATGTATTAATAATATGCAGTAGTTAATTAATTAACTACTTTTTTTGGTTTCCAATTTGAAGAAGCTTTTTTAGAAGAAACTTAATTCATTTTCATTTAACGAAAGTAATTGCTTAAGTTTTGTTTTGATTTATTTGGTTTTGTTCATTATTTAATATTATGTTGCACAATTATTTATGTTGCACAACTTTCGTCCTCGGTTTACAATACAGAATTTAGTAGCGGAATAATAAGTTTACCATTGTTTGTAATTGTATTTTGAAAATCTAGTTGGGTCACGTGATTTGATATATTACCAATCTTATTTAATTCAAAAATTGAATAAAATAAGATTATTGCCAATCTTATTTTATCAAGTTTGAACATGAAAATAAGAATTTTAGTTTATATAAATTTAGGATATTGAGTTCATTAAACAGTTTTTGTGTGTGTGAGAAACGATCTACGTTTGAAACCATTATTATAGTCTGTTTTTGTTTGCTAAGCAATTTTTTATTTTCGACGCGTTAGTGCTGAACCAAGCAAAGTTCGCATAACTTAAGTAGCAATGAATAAAAGAAAAGTAAATGTTTTTTACACAAGGTTGGTTTAATAACAGCTTAGCTTTGTACATTATACCTAAATTTTCAACTACACTTATATGTTCCCTCCAAGTTACATTTTCGTCTAGAAACACGCCTAAAAACTTTATTGATTGCTCTCTCTTTACTAATTTATTATCAATAGAAAGGTCCGGAAGTTCTTAGGGAATATCTGATTTTTTATGTAGGCTATGGAATGAAGTGTATTTTTTCTTAGTAATATTTAAAGATAAAAGCCCCAAAGTTTGAGCCCTCCTGCCCCAAACGTGAGAGCAACAAGTTTGGGGCAGGAAGAGCAACAAAATTTATCAGGAATATAAGCCTAGTTAAGAATAGTACAAAAAATATTTTATCAACTTGTTGCTCTTACGTTTGGGCCAGGGGGGACAAAATTTTGGGGCTTTTTTGTTCCCAGGCCCAATCATTGCAACTTTTTGCAAAGTATCGTTATTTGACATAACTATAAACATATAAATGTTTGAAGTTTGCTCCATGCTGAAAGTTAGCTATTTTTAACAATAAAAAAGTGCACCTTCTCCCCTGTAAAATTATTTCTTTTAAAAATAATATTTTTAAAACGTCCTTAACAAATAATCGAATTTCGCATTCTTAGAAAGAAACCCTACTTAACCTAATTTTAATAATCATGGCTTATTTACTCTTAAAAATGAAACTAATTATAAAACCTATAAACGGCTATATGTATCAGTTTTAAAAAGCTAAAAGAAATATTACTATTCGGATCCATTAATGAAACACAAAAATGATTCGCAAAAAACATGGCAAATTATTAAGGTGGTAATCGGTAAAAATTGTTTAAACGGAAGTTTACTTCCAAATAATCTTAAAGTATATAAATATAAATGTTTGGAATTTGCTCCATGTCTGGAAGTTAACTATTTCTTACAACAAAAAACCGCACCGTCACCCCTGTTTTATTGTAACGAATCGAAACATTCTTACCATTTAAACGTCGTTCTTTCACTTCCGCAAACAGTTCAAAATGTTTTGTATTTTTTGAGTTGATTTATGATGGTGATAATAGGAAGCAGTATAGTTTGTGTAAATTTATACGCAGTAATAGTATCATCTAATTAAAATGTTTTTCAATTTTTTGTTTTTTTAAAGTTTTTTTAGTTCACATGATAGAATCTGTTGCGCAAAATTTTAATGTTAAAATGTGTTGGCTTTTTTTTAAAGAAAAATATGTTATATTAATAAATCCGTTTGATTTATTTCTGGAAAACAATCAATAAGAACATTTATTTTTGACTTAATTCAAAGATACCATTTTTGTGTATTTTGAGCATGCTCAAATAATTAAGTGTAAAAAGATTTGGGTGTAAAAATCAAATTGGATCATAAGTAGTGATCCCTACTATAGGTTATTGATCGCAAAAATTTTGGATCCAGCATAATTATTTTTGAAATTGTTCCAATTTTTGCCCAAAGTGCTCATTATACCCTAATCTACGCTACCCTCATATATCATCATTTAGTTAGGTATTTAAACAATCTATCTGTTACATGGGTTAAAGGGTTGTTTGAAATAAGTGAAAAAAATGTCAAGTTATGAAATGATGACTAGCTCAATATAGATAGTTTTGAAATTAAGTCTGGAAAGTTTTTTTTTTTTTTTCGCCATTATGCATTTTTTTTTGAAATTGAAATTCTTATGCCTAACTAACGCATGAAAGCAATTTTGGAATATTTTTAAAGTTTTTTTTTTTTAATGCTGTGTTGTGCCACCTTTACTTGCAAGGAAACATATTTTAAATTAAATATTTTTACACACACGTCCGAAATTCACTATTCTTTCCCGATGATATAAAGATTTTACCTAGATATTGAACTTTGCCGTTTTTAACGAAGCCAAATTAATATTATGTAATGCGTCAAAAGCCATTATTAAATCGGGAAAAAAGCTCATTGTCGAATGAGAGGAGATTGGCAATTTTAAAGTCTAAATTAAGGTTAAAATTGAAGATGATAAGTTCAGAGATGATAGATTTGGTGGCCTACAGCCAATATAAATTTGTGTTGATTAAAGAAGATTGTAATAGCTGAAAAACTAAACTTATATATTTTTGAAAATATATTTGCATTTAGGACTTTAAACTTTTTATATAATAAAAATATACATTTATACACTCTTGAATAATAGCAATTGATTTATTTGTTGTTTTTAACCAATTGATGACTTTTTTTGCACTTTAGTATATAATTCTAGGCATATTTAAACTTTACAATTCTGAAATAATATTTACTTATCTTTC